AGGAGAAAGGATCCTCTTAATGAGCACTGCATCTCTTTTGCATTTTGCCAAATGTGTACCAATTCTGATGCAGCACAGATTCTTTAGTCTTAAAGTTATGCAAGAGAGTACTTCATCCTTATAGTAACTCAAATTACATTTGGGTTTAACTTGAACATTCCTTTAAATTATTCCTTTAAATTGTTTTCATTAAAAAGCCCAGAAAACAGAAACTTAGTATGATAGAGTAATTTTGTGAACATTTTTAGAATGCATCTTAAATGCATGTTAATAATTAACAAGATCAATAAACAGTTCCTTAGTTACTTGAGTACAATGATTATCACAATTATTACAAGTCATAAATTTATTTCCCTGTACTCAGGGAATCCAGATAGTTTGAGCCTTCACTGATCTTTTTTTCTTATGTTTTCCCTTAGAATTGTGGGAATAAAGTACATTTTAATTGCCCAGGAGAGCAGATTACTAAATTACAAGCATATATTAAACAACTGCAAAAAAAAAAAAAAAAGGCAAAAAAAAAAGCAGTAACTTCCATCTTTTTTCCACTTTCAATTAGGTAATTTAGAAGTACACCAACAATAATATAAATGAAAGAAAATAACCTGTGAATTTCATTTGTTGTGGTGTTTTTTTAATGATATATTCCACATGCACAGTGGGATCGATGCACGAACTTACCTAGAAGTGGAAATTAAATACTGACACTGTTAAATATGTTGTCTATTAATTATTTGCAAATCTCAAATATCTGATGTGAAAAAAAACCTAAAACCCAAAACAAACAGAAACACAGAACAAAGGCACAACAAAAAATTCACAGAATCCAGATGCTTAAACTTCTCAAGAAATTTAGGAATGACATAATGCTTTTATAGAGCTCATTTAAAATAATTAGGATGTAATAACAACCTAGGGCACATGCAAACTCACTGCAAACAAAGGATAATGCCATGTTTTCCTAGCTTCAGTAATTTCCCTCATTTTCCTCCATTGTACATGCTAGACATAATGCTTAGAGTCTGAAAAACGACTAGAAAATTGTACCTTTTATCATCTCTTATTGTTTCCCAGTCATTCCATATTGCATTTGTTTATCAAAGCAACTCTCATACCATACTCACACAACTCTGGCGTTTCTTTTGTTCCCTTTCAGCCTCATTAGAGGATATTTAACAATATCAACTATCAATTTCCTTGTCAGGTTTAAATTAGGGTAGTTACTACCTGATCAATCAATTACTCATTCACATCAATAACTATTGCACACATCTCTTGCTTTCAAGGGTTCAAGCTACCTTCTCTTCTCTAACACAGGGCAGCTGTTATTTCAGTGCTTCCTTTTACAAGATCAGTATTTCAGATATGTTATGTTCACAAATGCCTTGTTTTAGTTGATTAATTTGTCATCTGCAGCCACAAGTTTAATTATTCATATTATTTGAGCTGGCAAATTTTTTTTTTCTATTAGGGGTGGAAATGGAGATGCTTCGCCTGAACATGTTGTCCATCGGATTATGTAGGAGATACATCTGTACTCCTCCTAACATTGACAAAGTTTGTATCTTAAAAAACATGGAACAGAACTGCAAGTGTTGTTATATATTTATGTCCTTTTGTATGTTTTGATAGGCTGATTCTAATCCAACATTTGAAAAATACAAATTGTACTTACTTTATAAAAATAACAATTAATAAAAAATTGCATCTCTGTAACAACAAGAAAAAAGCCTTCTTGAATAATCACACTGTATTGCTGCATCACTCGCGAGCTTTTACCTTCCTGCTCCCATCCTTGGAAGCAGAACAATTATACAATTGTATACAATATATTATATTGTATACAATATTATACAAGCAGAAAAATTATACAAGAATTGTTAAGTCCATCATATAGATGAAGAAATCTTTTCTTGTTTGTGATCCAGAGAATAGAGATTTTGATATCATGGATAAAATCTGACCTTACTGACGTGCATGACTTTGCTCTAAATTTATCATGAATCCTAAGCATACTTTTAATAACTCTTGCACATAGAACAGAATTCTGCTGTAGACTCTGCATTGAAATATTCAGGTTAGGAAGATAAATTCAGAGTTTCATCAGCTTAAGGATAAATTGGTACCGCATGCTAACTTGTCCCTGTATTTTAAAAATCCTAGAATGGTTTGAGTTGAAGGGACCTCAAAGCTCATCCAGTTCCAACCCCTGCCATGGGCAGGGACACCTTCCACTAGAGCAGCTTGCTCCAAGCCCCTGTGTCCAACCTGGCCTTGAACACTGCCAGGGGTGGGGCAGCCACAGCTTCTCTGGGCAACCTGAGCAAAAATGAACCCCTAAAATGCCTCGTTGTGCTTAACAGCTGGTTTTCTCAAGAATTAAACTGCATGCCTGCATCAGAGTTCTTGTACATCCTTACATTTAAAGAAATGTAACAGGCAAGAAATCAGGACACAAGGTCAATGAAGCTCCTTCAGATCAGATTTCTTTAAAAAAAAGTACTAAACAGTACATAACAATCTCATATAAATATAAAACTAATAAGCAGCCTCGTGTAAGCTCAATTAATTCTTGACACTCCTATTCATTTAAGTTCTTCCCTTCTACTAATCCATTTATTGTGTGGTTGTTTATTTTTACATGTAAGCTCCCAGATTTAATTTTAAGGTTCTGTTTCAGCTTTTCTGCAATTATATTCATATTGTCAAAAACTGGATGGAGATAATTGGGTCCTTTTTACAGGTGATATATTAACTCCTAGATGAAGGCTTACATGTTACTCAATTCAAAAAAGCATTCATAATGCTCACTTCAAATAATTTGTCAAAACACATGTTTGCATAAAGCTATTTTACTCAGATAAATTGTACACATTGCTTTTTGAATCCTCTTTAAACAGTTGTTTTTGTTCAATTTATCAATACTGCAATTCTCATTTAGAGCTTAATTTAAAAAATCATACTTTTAATGTCAATTATTTTTCCCTATAGTTTATTCCTCTTCAAAATTAATTAAATGAGCATTTATCATGACTTTCTGTTGCAAGTTATTCTTTTTATGTTACGGATTAAGACTACAGGTGCCCTTCCCAAGAACTGAACCCTCCCAAATCCAGCAAGGATCATTTGATTTCCACAAATATTTTCTCATCTTTTAACCAACCATTTCACATTAAGGGCATTTATATTAAAAAAACCCAAAACCCATTTGCCTCAGAATGTCAGCACTCACATACTGGCTACCAAGACACATTCTAGGGTTTGTATTAAGAATGCTATCACATAATTTGACTCCGCTGTAGTCAGAGCCCCGTGACTGACAGAAAAAAAGTTTTATTTTCAATTTATCTCCATTGTGCTGTCTCTAATTGCAAATAAACCCTAACAATTAATGTTGAGGAATAAGAGAAGTCAGGGGCATTCACATATGTGATGTTACAAAGCACAGTTCTCCCTTCCTTTCCCTAGACATACACACAGTCACACAGAACAGAAAAAGATGAGAGGGCTGTTTGAAAAAGGCAGCCATGGCAGTACAGCATAGCACAGGGCTTTAACTGAAGCATGACATGTACAATACAGAAAGAGAGAATTTTGAAAGGCATTCATTATCACCATGCCAGTTTGATGGCGTACAATTCCTGTACCCACAACAGATACTGGAAGCCCATTCAGACAGAGCAGCAAACCAAAGCACTAAGCTTCATCACTTCGAGGACCACTGGTCCCTGACAATTTCTGTGAGCAAAAATGTCACAGTCACAGGGAAGAATAAATTTTAAGTTCACACAAAAAAGTTATAGTACGAGGAGTTTTCCATATTATGCAATTATTTGCTCACTGTGTAGAGCAAATATGGGCTTGTACCACAAAAGCAGATTGTCCATGGCAGCACAGTTTACGTCTGAAGAAGCTGCAAAACCATCACAGTGAAAAGCTCAGATTAACGGAGCTGACTAGCGGCTTTAGGAGGAAGCAGTATAATAAAGCACAGAGAAACAATACTCCAACCCAAACCTGACAATTGTCTGACTGACAGAAGTGACTGTGGTACTTCAGATAATGAAATATGCACTAAAAACATGATAGAAATATACACACAGTATATTTCACTGATAAAATCCTCCCAGGATCCAATCATAGAATCATAAATGGTTAGGGTTGGAAAGCACCTTAAATTATCAGTTCCAATCCAAGTCTTTGAGGACAGGCTTTCTTTAAATGCAAAATTTGATACAAGGTCATGTAGAAATATTATTATTAATATAAACAAATTCAGTGACTAATTTCTAATTGAAAATAAGAAATTTCTGCTAATCTGTGAGAAACAGCTCCAAGGAACACCTCCATTTGCTCTACAACCCTGGCTTTCCTATAAAATACCAGAAAAATCCACATTTTATCCACAAACCACTGTTACATGTTTTGCTAGTAACTGGGGAAGTTCATATCTCATTCTTTTCCCATCAGTTAATCTCTGTAAGTGCAATAAATGGCAAGAGACAGATATAAGCAAACACAAATCTATGAACATGAATAATAACGCAATTCCAACAATTCCCATAGATCAAGGTGGGGTAAAGAAATGGAGGGAATATTTTTACCCTTTAAATTGACTTGTGTAAAGTTAATCCAGTGCTTGTGCACAAGAGAAATGCAAGCCAATCATGGGTGTCTAATTCCATCCCTTTAGTGTTCCTCTGAATGCGCTCATCTGAATCTCAGCTGCATTACTCGCTTACCACATCCTGGAGCCTTTTAAGATGACAGGCCAAAAACTAATGCAAAAGGGCATGCAAAACCTGAACTCCATCAGTGTCATGGTTTAACACCAGCCAGCAACCAAGCCTCACCCAGCCGATTGCTCACTTCCCCCAAGTGGGATGAGAAGAAAATTGGAGGAGTAAAGGTGAGAAAACTCGTGGGTTGAGATAAAAATAGCTCAATAGGGAAAGCAAAACCCACACACACAAGCAAAGCAAAACAAGGAATTCACTCACCACTTCCCATAGTCAGGCAGGTGCTCAGCCATCCCCAGGACAGCAGGGCTCCAGCATGTGGAACAGTGACTAAGGAAGAAAAACGGCATCACTCCCAATGCTCCCCTTCCTCCTTCCCTCACCTTTATATACTGAGCATGATGTCCTATGGCATGGGATATCCCTTGGGTCAGTTGGGATCAGCTGTCTTGGCTGGGTCCCCTCCCAACCCTTTGTGCCTCCCCCAGCCTCCTCACTGGTGGAGTGAGAAGCAGAACAGGCCTTAGCTCTATGTAAGTACTGCTCAGCAATACCTAAAACATCCCTGTGTGACCAACACTGTTTCCAGCACAAATCCAAACCAGCCTCATAGTAGCAACTGTGAAGAAAATGAACTCTATGCTAGCCAAAACCAGAACAAAAGAGAACGGCAACAGTGAAACTGAACTGAAACTAAACAACAAAAGGGGTTTTGATCCCTAATAAACAAATGCATGATCCCAGTTCAGCTGGCAACCAGAATTTATGCCAATTTATCCTCTCTTTGCTAGAGATGGCACAAAAAGGTTTTGGACAGGCTGACAATGGACTAGTAAAGCACATGACATGATGCAGGAGGCCAAGACTAAACAACACCAACTGGTCGTCACTTTTTGCTTGCCCTCAGCAATGATGCTCAGGAGCAGCAGCTCTTAATACTACAATTCCTGTAGTTGATATTAGTGATCAACAGAAGAAAAGCTAATTATCAGCAAGAAATATGCTGGCTCCATTTTCCTTCAAAAAAAATACCTTAAATGTAAGAAACAGGGAATCAGCACACTACCACAGAATGACATCGGGCACACATACACACAAAAATAGGTTTATATCACCATAAACCAGATGCTAAAAATCACTGCATCCATGTTTCTAAACCTGTTTTAATAATCACTATTTCAGGAACTTAAAAAATTATTCTAAAAATTTATGCAGGGCATTTTACTCCTGAATGGTATTACTTTTTCTGTATGTAATGCCATGTTATGAATGTAGCCAAATGAACAAGTACATTTCCTTTCTCCTTGGAAAACGATTAGAGTGCTTAAATGGTAAGAGAAAGTTCTAACATTTTCTATATACTCTGAACACTGGGACTGAAATATCAGTCATTTTTGTCTTCCAATTATTAGGCTTCCTTAAATATAATTAAACTCAAATATTGTTTTTCTCTAATTGATTTCAGAATATTGGGAAAGAAAGAACATAATACATTTTTTCTTCACCCAAGTGCAAATGTATGGCACAGTGTAAAAGAAACCGCCTCAGAGACTGGAGAGGGTCTAGAGTTAGATTACCACCTCACACAATTTTATAAGGTTCATACACATTTTCACTTGATTTTTCCATGTTTTTTATTAATTTTTCATGAAAACTCAACAAAACCATTTTGAGACATTTTCTATTAGTTTTTCTATCAATAAGATATGTAAAACTATAAAAAAAACCCTATACACATTTTGAAACCCCTGCTGATGAAACCCTGCATTGTTGATTTCTCAACAAAAGCTGTTAATTCTGTGAGCAGTGGAAGTAATGAAATTCAGTTGCTGATAAGATGTATAAGATAACTGTGTGTGTGGTTGATTGTCTATGGTGCCTTACAAGGTGCATTCCCTGATGGACACATTTCCACAACTGAGACATTCTGAAACTTGTTCTCTCTTCCAAGAGCTCCCCATAATACAAGCACTTCAAAGTTCTCTGTCGCCTTGCAGGAAATTAGTTCTCTCTGAGATCCCTTGGCCTTCAAAGTCGGTGGACATGGCGAAAAAAGTTAAAAATTTAGGTTGAAGAAGTTGACAGAGATGCAGAAAACACTATCTCAAAAGCCTTGCTTACAAGAAGCACGGAAGCAAAAGATACTTCAAGAGCAACTTCACAGATCTCTGTTAACACCATCATCTTCCAAATTCCCATTGAAGAGTGTGAATGAGGTTATTTATATTGTAATATATATTAGGTGGGAAACATAACTGTAATCACTCAAGAAGTAGCTTTCTGAAATTAGCATTTTTTCCAAAACTGAATGCAAATTGTGCACTCAGTAGAATAAAAAGCATAACTATGACTTGTACATATATACTTCTAGTGGCTTAACGAGCAGGAGGGAGCCTTATTTTTCCTTAATGAGAACTTTCCAAAGGCAAAGTCTAATCATAGAATTGAGTTTTTGTGCCAGTATGAAGGTTTAGCATTAAACCTGAGCAATGGGCTGCAGAAGCTAACTTAGATTATTTCTACTATTCACAGTCACAGAGTGGTTTGAGTTGGAAGGGAAATGCACAGATAACAGTGAAGTTAAACAGTGAACAGATAACAGTGAACAGCTAACAGTGAACAGATAACAGTGAAGCTTTAAAGGTTAAAGCTCATTCAGTTCCAGCCCCCTGCCATGGGCAGGGACACCTTCTACTAGAGCAGGTTGCTCCAAGCCCCATCTAACGTGGCCTTGAACACTGCCAGAGATGGGGCATACTGCTTCACCCAGTTTTAATTCTTTTTTTATGGCACAGAAAACATTTTCGAGCAACTTAAAAAGACTTCACTGTTATCTGTGCATTTCACTTCTTCCTATCTGCAACCAAACTACCATTCTAAGTATTATCTGTATGTTAATCACTAGTTTCTTGTTTTTACAGTACCTTCTTATGCCTCACATTTGCACCTCCAGATGGTCCTCATTCTTCTAGAAGTATTTCCCCATATGCACAAGAGGCTCTGAGTTCTGCTACTAAAGTAGCTTTAATTCTTTAACATCCCATTCCTGATTTTCAGTCCTCAAGCATCTTCCTTCGTCTACAGAAACGAGCTAGAAATAATATCTATGTCTGATTCCCCCAAGGATCCTTCCTTCCTTTTCAGAAGCATAAAGCCCTACATAAATAATCTAGGTTTAGATCCATGGTAAGACATAAATGTGAAAATGCAGTGTCAAGTTGCATAAGGACAATTGTAAGAAGTTTGTCTTCAAAGTCCACACAGACACATGCAATAATAGAGATAGATATTTATTTGACCTATGTCTAAAGAAGTATCTTCAAGGAAAGCAGCAACATGACAGGATCAACCAAGAATTTAAGCAATGAAGGCAAACCATAATAAATAGGCCATTTTTACACTTCAGCTCTGCCACACCTGATGCACTAAAAAAATGAAGCAAAAAGAATTGATTGTTGTTCAATAGCTACCTATTAAAAAAAAAAACAACTTATTTTTAATTGGTATTTCATTAGTTGTGCTGCATACAATTGTGTAATAAAATATGAAATGATACATAATTCAAAATCATCATTTAAAGATCTATTACATAGTTTCTTCTACAACAGCTATTAATCTTCAGACAGCTCCTATGAAGATTTACTGCATTAAATCACATGAGGAAAGAGGGAGCAATCCTGATTTACATTAAAATAGAGAGAAATGAAACAGCTCTGACATTTACCCAAGTACCCAAGTTATCCTCAGGTACTTGGGCTCATCTCTCATTTCAGTGATTAAGTTGTTCAGAGAAAAACAACTCCTATACGTCATATACAGATTAGTCTGCTTCCTGCCAACTGAGCTCTCTGTCAAACCTTTCTGTTGTCCCAAGCTAACGTGTATTTTATAATGTATGATTGTTGTGTTAGCTTGGAAATATGTCAGGAAAAGGCACAAGAGAAATATATCCTCCAAATAAAGGTAAAAATATCTGAACAAATATCACATTAATAATTTCATTCAGGTGTACTTCAAATAATGTTAACAACAGAAGCATACTGGTTTACGGGAGAAATTCCTGTAACACTGTACAATGTTCAGATAATGTTACCTATTTGCCCATTTCTACATACATATGCATTTTAGTTGGAGAGCTTCCAATTTATTGTACACGAGATAAGATTTTAATAGCAATTTCTACTTTGTTCCATGGGATAAAAATAAATATGTTTCTATACACGCAGTTCTTCCCAAAACTAGGAAATTACTTGTACAGAAGGGGAGGGAACAAGATGTACAATGTGTTCTGCACTTGCAGCACTGTGTGCTTTTATTTACACAAAATGCTAAGGCCTAGCATTAATTTCTGTTTAGCCAAATACAAATTTAAAGAAATGTTGAGGTTTGCTAAAAATGAATGTAAGTCATTTCATTCTCACTTAAAATTAACTTTAGTGTAGTGACGTTTTTTCTGAACTAAAGCCTTTACACTTTTTAGACTTTTACTGCTCTTGCAATCAGGAAAGCAAGCAACGACAAGAAAGATCTTGTTAACTTCTTCTGAGTAAAGACAACCTTCGATAACTCTAATTCAGGAGGTACTTCAAAAGTCTCTAATCCAGGTGCTTTCCTTTCACCTTCAGTACTGTACTTCCAAATTACAAGTAAATTTGCACATTCACTTATCGCCACAACTAGTGCTTCTTAAATCGATACAAAGATACTCTCAAAGTAATTTAACTTTTTATTGCTTAACATGAAAATTTAGAGTCCTCATATACAATTTTAACTTGAACAGGAACTGTGAAATAGGAAGCTCTGTAATCCTTTTACTGAACATGCTACAAAACTGAATCCCAGACCCTGTAGTACAAACTTCAGCATATACTAACGTCCAAAAACTCAACAAGAGCTTTGTATTTCTTTACAGAGATTTAAATTTTTGGCAAGTTTTCCAGAGAAGAATTATACCTTTCTTAACAAATACAGAAGAGCTAAAGCAGCTTTGAATATACACAATGAAAACACTTTTGAACATTTTAGATCAATAAGAAAATGTTGTTGAAAACATTTATTGTATCTTTTACCAGCATTACCATAATGAAAAAAATCTTTAATTGCTTTCAAATTGTAAAGCCATTCCTCAGCTCAGACATTCCCCCTTCCAGTCGTTCAAATTCTTACTCAAGATAGGAATCTGGTATGGCTCCATGGAAGTCAGGAAAGCCTCGGCTGAAGACCCGTGGCTCTCACGTGGATATAGGCAATAAAAGCTATATGACTGGCAAAGCATGAAAATTCAAACAAGAACTGGCATCAGTTACATACTTTGCTTTAGTACAGTGAGCAATCCACAGAAAACATTT